CATCGGGTACCGATTTAGAGAGCAGCTGATCTTATGGGAGGCAATGCAAGCCGCTGGGTCCAACGTACGCTCCGCAGGTGATCGGGTATTTGTGGATGGCAACAAGAGACTTGCCGTAATAGGGGACACAGTGCTCCAGCTTGTCCTTGCTGAGAGATGGTACAGTGGCGGGAGTGTCAGAGGTGTTGTTGTCGGCGTGTGCACAAGCTTGTAGATAGCGTGTTAATGCAGGCAGCAGAACGATTCAATCAGACCCTATCTCAAGTTGCTTCCAATACCAGTCTGGATAGGGTTGGACGGCAACATGAACTTCATAAGTGCGTCAACACTAACCCATCCCAACGTCAATTCGTGTCGCCAACCACGATGGCTGCGACCATTGAGGCCATTCTTGGAGCGGTATATTTGGATAGCAACTTGGAGAAGGTCGGAGAAGTGATGCAGACTTTAGGTCTAGTACCCCTGGCTTCACATGATGCAGGGGAGAGTCAATAGATGATCAGGCACATGGCGCTTAGCAAAGCGAGACAACATTATAGATACGTCACAAGTTCAAGCGGTCCTCTCCCTCTTTGCGCTATCCCAATACTACATTCGTGAAATCACTGTACGGAGCCGATGATTGCAGACTTTCGCATCTGGACATAAATAGGTAGCACGTGTATGAGAATGGCAACGTGATTAGACGCCTCTTCGTACAGTAAAGCTTGCGAGCTCGATTGGTAAGTAAAGAAGGCGCCAATTTCCGGCGTCAGATATAGTAAGATACCAATCAAGTCCACCGCAAATCTTCAGGAAGCATGCACATCCCTGCATTCTGCATGCTTTATAAGTAATCAATTAGAGCTCGCGGTAGGGCAGACGTCAGGTATCAGGTACGCGTGAAAGGAGAGTGCTATTATTGGACAGCCTTATAGGAACCGTTTGATGGACTATTTCGCTCCGCTCCGCTGCACTGGTTTGGATTGGACATCTGTAACAACAGCCTGTAGGCTGATGAGTGTCACTATGTATGCAGGAAGGCCTCACGAGGTCTTCGAAAAGCTGCAGTCTCGGACGGTCGCGATCACTGACGGCCAATCATTCATGAAGTCCTCCTATGGCTCGTTGCTGATGGTCGGAAAGCGCTCGAGCCGTCGGGTGACTTCGGCCGCCTCATGACGCAGTAAGGCCCGAGCGACGGTTCGAGCAAACGGTTGTCTGTCATTCGCTCTCGATCTGTTGCGGTGGCAGATAACCAGGCCTCGAGATACCTATCGGAAAACTTAGCTTGTGACCGATCTCTGTCCGTTTAGTGCTTCATTGCTGCGCACATCTGTGCGACAGACCTTCGTTTGAAGATGTTATGCAGCATACGTTCCGCGTGTTCTGCTAAAGAATACCAAAAGAGGGTATCCGTATACTCGGTATTGTCAAACGGACGCTCTATGGCTGCCCTTCTATTCGGGTTTCGCATGTGCGCTCGAGATCTCTCTGCGGTACGACGTATGGCCCAAACTTTTAGGTGCAGCTGGCTTATGCACGCCATCCTTTGCGCAGCATGACATGGCATCTTCATAAGGCTGGCGCTTGGCGTATCCAGGCGATCTCATGTCGCTCGGATCCGACGACCTAGGTTCTTTTCGCTCTCTCATACCACTTTCTACCCTTCCTCTCTCCTCACGTCCACGACGCCTTTTTTGACCAAGAGCTCGTCAAACCTGAACGACTGAGGCGGTGTGAGAAATGAGACACTGCAAGACTACCCGGAGCAGCCAGAAAAGGTGATATCCCCAGAATACGGCAGAAAACGGCTTTGAGAAGAAAATTTTCAGTGCTTTATTCGGTTAAATGCCAGGATACTTGTACAAAGAAACAGGGCGGCGGTCTCAATTACCGCATTGTCTGAAGACCGTCAGACATCTTGCCAGGAAGTTGGCCTGTAGAAAGGCGCTTCTCCCAAAGAACCCTACCAGAGCCACGCCCAAGAGCTGACTTGCTGTCTTTGAGCAGCTCAGCTTCAGTTCATCACTCTTATTGGCATCGCAATTTTCGCGCTTGGTATCTATTTGCTTCAAGAGCGCCCATGATAGCCACATTCCTCGACCTTTTGCGTGCGCACAGGCGGCGTGTGGATCAAGGTCGGTCTGTGAGTACTCCATGCTCCCTCTGAGCAGCCACCGAATTGATTGCCGGTACTTGTAGCGCTTGGGGCTAGGAGTGCGTTGAAGCCTGAAGCTTGGGGCTTGGCAGCCGCGAAGTCAACTTGATACTTATTAGTCGATCGCCTTTAGACTCGATGTTGAAAGCCAGTCCTTCCTTAAGAGGCCCTCCGTTCCTTGGGCAAAAGCAAAGAAGATCTGTGGTTCTCCCAATTACCGAATACCTACTTTATCTGTGAACTCATAAAGATGCAGATCATCAAGCTCGCCTACGCGCCTCTTCGCCGATCGGGTCCCGGCCAGCGAAGCCGGAAGCGATGCTCGCAATGGCTTGAGCACTTTTAACAAACGAACTTAATGAAGCCACAGTGTGCTCGTGATGATTTCCTGTCAAAAAGCTTACCCCCACGCGTCTGCCCAAGATCCGCCACTCGGGCACAATTGCAGATATTGACAATCGTGATTAGTGGGATCTGACAGAACAAGTCCCAGTCATCGGAAGTTAGAGAAAACACCGAAGATACCGCATACGGCGTGTCAGCTCTTGCTCTTGTTTGTCCCCCAGAGATGATCGTACCGAAGGTGTTCGCTTGCACGCCTACTTTCTCAGCCATCCCACTGACCGGGATGCAAAACATACAAGCAGAAATGCAAATGCCGCGGGATGCCTCGAATAATATTAACACGATAGTGCCGTAGTACGTGTATCAGAGTGCGCAAGATCAGAGCAACGGAAGACTGGGTAATTAAGGATTAGCAGAGCTAGACAAGGGGCTATGAGTTCCTGGGACTTTTAGCCTTCTTTTGTGGCACCTGCGCTCATCTCTTTGCTTAGGGCCCCTTCGGTAACCACATATTTTCAAAATATGCCAACATATATTACCCCACCTCTTGGCAAATGAAATGTGGGTTCAAAACAGGACTAGTAGACACTTGAAAATATGTTAAATATATGTACGGTTTCGTTCGGTAACCTTGTAATCTCGCTGAGTAAGAATCGAATGTAGGACAGTCGGAAAATTCTTTCTCGTCAGAGACAATTGCCTTCCTACCTACCATTCAACAGTCTTATGGCTGATATACCTACTGCTGCACAGGCTTTAGCCATTGTTAATGCTTCTATTGCCCCCGTCGTTACCCCGTCTCCTGTTATAATGAGAAGAATAGTACTGAGCAGCAGTAAGAATGACACTTGCAGCTACCTCTTCAAATAGAGAGTCATCCATAACTGAAATATAGCTGTTGCAGTCATGAAATGTGGCTACCAATCATGAAAATGAAAAATATCGCTATTGCAGTCATAAATGTCCATTATTTCTGTGTACTTAGCGCACATTGGGCCTTAAATTATGGGTCAACCCATAATTTACATATTTTCAATGTGAAATGTGGCCTGGCAAGTGAAAATATGGTTACCGAACGAAACCGTGTATATATAGTACGCTAATTTGAAAATATGTTGGCATACTTTGAAAATATGTGGTTACCGAAGGGGCCCTTAGCCAAGAAGGGCGCCAGAGAATGCTCCACAACCTTCACTGAAACGAAGATGCTCAGTGCGGACTGTCAGCTGACGACAAGGGTCTGTCCCTCAACCAAAGGCCAGCCCCATACTCATGCTTAGGCTTTGACATGGGAAGAGCAGTTTCTGTTGTCCTGTCACTGTGAGGCTGTGAGCAATAATTTTTTGGTGTCAAAAGAACCGTCAAGGTTGGTTCCTAGTTGCTGCCCAATTGGGGCCAATTGGAGGAGAAGGAGATAAAAATCCTAAAGTAGTTTACTTTAGATTGACGGAAGAAACATCGAAGGGGGAAGAGGAGGTCAAGGAAGCGAAAGGGTTTGATCGACGTGGAAACGGAAGCAATCAGCCAATCAGCCAATCCAGCCATCAGCCAATCATCTAATAGTAATCCTGGCATTAGTCGTAGCGAAGAAAAAGTAAGGAAGTAAAGAGTAAAGTAAAAAAAGGCGGCTGATATCGATTTGTAGCGCAGAATGCTGCATTGATGGCTTGTCTCCCAACCTTGTAAAAGTAGGTAGGTACCCCTGCAACTCGTTCCCATCGTTCCCATCGTTCCCAGCGTTCCCAGCGTTCCCAGCGTTCCCAGTTCCCTGGATTTCTTTAGTGCCTGGTGGTTGCCTCCCAAGGGCTCCAAGTACCGAACCCACGCCCAAATGTTAACGCGCGCCGTTGACAACGATGGCACCAGATGGCAATAGCTTCATGAAGATCTGCATGCAATAAACATTCGAGGGTTTCTTCTTCGTACCTGACCCATCGAAAGAGAAGCTACCATACTCCTTCCTCCGCGATTGTGACGGTGTACAACAATTACATCGGCCATGCTATAAGGCCAAGGCGGCCCCCCCCCCCAAGTGACGGCAGTGATTTCAGGATCAATAAACGTTCTTTCCCCGCGCTCTGCCTCTTGTCCCACCTACGAAAACAATCCTTACCAACCTTACCATTATTGTACATATCGTCGGCTTCTCATCTTTGCCTTTCTGACCACCTCAGTAGCCGCCTGTCAGCCTACTTGGCCTTCGGCATTTCATCCCCCCTTCCGGATCGACTCGTCGCCACCCGCACATCCAAAGAGAGAAAGAGAAGCGAAAGTATTATCAGAGTAGTGGGGAACTCCACACAGCCTTCAGCTCACCGCTGCACCCATTTTCGCCATTTTTCCACATCAAAAAGGCGCGAAATCCACCATACCTTGATGCATCAATGTTCCGATGAGTCCAAAGCTCCACTGCCGAAGCAATAACATCGGCCCATAGTCTTGACGAGGAATACTGAAAACTTTGGGGCACTGCGCGTGGTGGCATGTTGGATAGAGCTGATGGATCTGGTCGCTCATGAGGGTCGCAACCAAAGAGATGGATGGATCGGGTCCGGAACCCAAAAGACAGCGTCTAGATTACCATAAACCGCAATCCCACGGTCATGCCACTACTCTACCACCACCTCCTCACACGTATCAACCGCCACAGCAACCGCCTCCCCCTCCGTCACCTTACGATGTTGGCCCGCACGATAATAGAAATCTACCAGACCCCGGCGGTCCCAATCCCCATGCCTACGTGCAAGAACATTCCGGCACGAGCACTCCACGAGACCAGCGATTTCCGCCTGACCCAGGCTACTCTCGCCGGGGTAGCGCTTCGGTCGTCCCTCGGTCCCCAGATGGCCACCATCAATATCCACCGGGACGAACTTTGAGTATCGTTGAGGGCCCGCACTATCCATCTCAATATTCTGTTGAACCTAGCGGGTATCCGCCACACGAACCACCGCCGAACGGTAATGTCCACCACGGCGGTCTGCCAATGCACCCTTATGAGCAAGCCCATGGGTATCCTCCACCACACCACATTGAATTTTCCCAGTCGCCGGTCACTGCTGGTCCTCCATATGGAGCCGGAAACTATGTAGGTCACTTCGGTCAAGCAGGCGCAAGGCCTCTGAAGAAAGGAAATAGGGCAACGCAGGTACATCTACGACTTTCGCTCTTCAGAGTTTACCAGCTGACTTGTTAGGCATGTGATGTCTGTCGAACGAGGAAAGCAAAATGCGATGAAGGTAGACCCGAATGCGGCTTTTGCGTGGAGAATAACATGCGATGCAATTACCAGAGTGTGGCGCCGGCGAAGTCCGTTACCTTCCCTTTCTTTTCAATGCAACTGATGTACTAATGCTTTACAGGGCTGATCGTGCGAATCAGCAAATAATCGACCAGTTGTCGTCTCACAGAGAGGAGATGAAAGCCCTCAAAGAAGACTGGGGTGGAAGATTTGACAAACTCGAGCAGATGATCCTGGATATGGGCGGTGGACGAAATTTGACCATTGAAAGACGTGACACGAAGCCACCACAGCTCAAGTTGGAGAGCCCTCCGGGACCGGCGACTGGCCAATTACCTGGAGGCGTTGACAATCTATCTTCAGAACCCACCGCTAAGGATACGGCAATTGTTGACACAAGTCCTGGTGGCTCTTTAACAGAGTCGACAGGCAGTGATCCTGTTGCAGCACGGACCAACGAAATCTACATCGCACACAATACCGCAGCTCAGAAGTTGTTTCGTTGGCGGTCTATCAAACAATTACTGCGACAATGCAGTAAGATTGAATTTTCCGATCGTGCGGAAGACTATGTTATGGAGTATGAGATCAACAAGGGCGTAATGAGGATCTATGGCAAAGGCCGTCAGTTGCGAGACTCTCTATATGCGTCTCCTACAAGTGTAGCTGCAGCCAGCCCCACTCCCAGCAATGTCAGCGGTCCAGGGGACGAGACTTCGACGGCTAGTAGTCCGGCCTCTTCACCACCCGAGAGCCTCTGGGGTACCGCTTTCATGCCCACTCCCGTGGAGATTAGACCCACCAGCGATGTGGGGGGTCTCGGTCCAGATAACACTTTGAAGCTTGAGACGAGAACGATATCCCGCCTTCATCAAAGTTACCTTGACAATATCCATATCCTACATCCTATCCTGGATCAGCGTGAGTTGACCCGGATGGTTGAGCATTTCAAGCGTCGCCACAACCCACACCCACACGATACGAATTCATCCAAAGTTGGATTTGTAATCCCAGTCAACGCCAATCTCGATGCTGTACGAGACCCGCATGCGATTCTCAACAGAGCGCAGAAGCGAAAGCACTCTGACGGACAGTATTACGGCGCGTTGGGCGAGTCGAGCCTGGCGCCAAGTCCGATGAGCCCAAAAATTTTCTTGGAAAAGTCTCCAGAAACGGCTCTTACACTCCTCGTGATGGCCTTGGGAAAGATCTGTGAGTGTAGATCACCACTTCCAGGACCGGTTCCGGACAACATGAGAGACCCTATGAATCACACAGCGCATCCTTATTCGCCTTCCAGAGGTCAAACAGACTCGCCGCCGCCCCCGTATTCTCAACCGATGCGACATTCTCCATCTGCTTCATCCCACTCCACTGCCAGTACATCTGCACCTTCTCCAATGAGCGCTGGTCGAGTGGCCGGGTCAAGTCCAAGGTCTTCGGTCGGCGAGCTATCTTCCGGCGCCAGGAACGTCGATGTGATACCTGGGCTGGCTTATTATGCACAAGCCACGGACATCTTGGGCAACCTTACTGGCTTCCAGGAATTGATCTACGCGCAGTGCTGTCTACTTGCCGGTCTATACGCAGGTCAACTGGCGAACACCTTGGAGAGTTTGACTTGGATACAGACGGCTAGTAGAGTATGTCGTTTTCTTGTCTCAGAGTAAGTTTTGACGTGTGTAGCAATTGGTCCTGAAACTCACACTGGCACATTAGGCCACCCTTCACGAAAATGAGAGAAGCAAAAAAAGAAGTAATCAAAATTGCGTTCTGGTCAAGCTTGCAATTGGAGAGGTAGATCCATCATTTATGGCACCCTGCAATCTGATCTGACCAATGACAGTGACATATTGGCCGAGCTTGATGTTCCTCCGAGCGGAATACAAAGCGTACTGACCCCTCCTGAATATCCAAAATCAATGGCCGATCACCCAATTGCTGTCTACGACGACCCGGGTAAAGCAAAGGTCATGACATATTATTGTTTCCAGCTCATGATGCGGAAGTCGCTCAACGACATTCAAACAGAGCTTTACAGTAAGTCTCGAAGAAACAACCTTGTTCTTTTGCCCGTTGATAAGACATTAACGACTGCTCAGAGGCCCCAAATTTTGAAAGGGTGACTCGTTCTGCCAGCCTGATCAACGCTTTCAATACCAACATATGGGAGTGGAGAAAGATGCTCCCTCAAGATCTGCAATGGGAAGACACCGAACCCCCAGCCCGGTACATCAATGACGCTCGTTTACGTGGAAAGTTCTATGGCGCCCAGTATATCATCCATCGACCTTTCCTACACGCTGCACTTGACTTTGACTTTACTACTTCCGACGTTCAGTCCCCAACCCACGAAAATGTTGAAGTTTCTCAAAACGCACTCCATCAGCCCGTCCTGAGTCCTGACACCCAAGCGGGCACCATGGGACCACCAAAGCCCGTCTCTGATCCGGGATACCACCGTCGCACCGAAACCATCAGTTTCGCGGTCAAATGTATACGAGCCGCCGAAGAAAGTACTGTAGCTTTCGACGGGATCCTCGACCATAGGAGATTGATAGTCACGAACATAATGGGTACTGCCCACGCCCAATTTGGAAATATGCTCGTACTCTCAGCAGCATACAAATCCAAGACATTGGGTCAGTACGTGGAGCGTGGAAAGCTAAGCCATCTCTTTGATCGGACGATCAAGATGCTGGGTGACCTCGCCCCTATATCACAAACGCTGGCGAGAGACTCTTTTATACTACATTGGTTGCGGAAAGTGGTGTTTGAAGGCGCTGATACCTTGTCGACCTCCTTTTCATCCGAATGAAAGCTTCCAACTGCTTCAAACGACGGCATTGGCCATGCCGCTCATATCATTCGCAAATTTGGTCGGAAACCAGACGAAATCATCGAGACATCTCTTCGCGTGTCTACGATTACCAATCCTCAACATACCTCCATCGTCCATCGCAATTTATCATACCGGGCAGACCTTTTCATCAAATGCATTATTCACGCGGCGGCCTCTACATATCGAATCCAGCATATATCGCCATCGTTCTCGCAATAAATACCACTAACGCCGAACAGGCTTTGCAATCACGTTCACACACGCGTGCTACCTCCGCGCTGAAGCGGTCAAGCTGTCCCGCTCAGCCGACACATACATTCGTTTCATATGAATCCATGTCTGATCTACTATCATCTGTCTAATATCTCTGCTGCTTTCGATCCGGCGTTTCTGGGCGGCATCAGTGAGCGAAGCATACCATATACTCTCGGGGTCGGCTATCTGTCTGTCTGATCTAGACACCATCGTACTTATTGCGCGAGCATGCCATGGGACACAAAGCACACCATCTGCTGGGCGGGTTGGGCGGTTGCATTGCTTGCATTGGGCGAAGGAGGGGGCGTGGGGGCCGTGGATTACATGCATGCCTGTATGTATTCATGTACGTACGACGACTTAGTACAGTGGCTATGAAGCTACTTGAATGGTATGCATATGGTTCTCCATCCAAGACTGTGCAGTAATAGTCAGCATGAAGCCAAGTGTCCTTGCGGTTCCTACCACTTCGAGTGGCGTTGCGTTGGCCCAGTGGACCGTACTCGTAGCCCCAATGACTCCATCGTCCACAGCTGTGCTCTGGGGGAAGCGTCGGATGTGAACTGGAGCGCAGCCACAGGGAAGAGTTCTACAAATGTACCGCTGACTTTTGATGGGCATTGTGAGGCCAGATGAAGGAACAGGTCGCTCTCGGATGCCCCTCTACCGGATGGAAAGCTGTAGTATGTGAGGTTTTCGATCTGCTCGGATGACGCCGGGCTGGACCGAAAGCCTCACTGCGGTAAGCGTTGATGGCTCTGGCTTGCGGGGGAAGTTTGATAATGAGGCATTGGATGCCTTGTCTTTTCTTGACTTTACGGAGAACTTGCTGTAAGGAGTTGACACCGCGTGCCGCTATGCAATGCCGAGGCGTGTTGTACAAAGGGTATCTACAAACGCAACAAACGACCGCTACTCCGTGGCTCGTGGCACTGTATGTAAACTGGCAGTGTACAATCTGTATCATCTCTGCAGGGCTACAGCGCCCACATCGCCGCTCCCATCGCCGCTGCAAACACCCATGTAGTCGATGCCGCAAGCAAGCTTCCAGAGCCTTTCTTATTGGCACTGCCAAGGTTGATCCCATCAGGTAAGCCCTGGTAGCCAAAGGTGAGGTTCTGCTTGATGGTAGTGTTGACGCATTGCCCGTTGGCGATGTCTAGGTTTGTGAGATCATCCTGGGATGGTTAGCTTTCGCAAAGACAGTAAAGAAGGAGGGCTAATCCTACAGGTACGACGAAGAACATGTACATGCTTGCTGGGACATTCTTGAATCCGCTCGTATCGTAGGGGAATCTATCACCGGGATCCGTATTCGTGGTGTTCCGGAGAAAGATGCATTGTACTTGGCCTGGGTAATCTGTTACCATGGCTGGGTAATCCCTCATAACATCGCTATTGCTCGTGTCCGCAATTAGAACGAACTTTCGTTGTGGGAAGGTCTGGAAGACCTTATCGAGTAAGAACTTGCGGATGCTCAATGTAGCGCTGACGTCGCTGAAGTTCAAAGGACGATCGTCGAAGGAGCCGCCAGGGTAATTCTTGTAGATGAAATCCATGTAATTGCGAGTCACTTGCTCAGGGGTGGTGGTCAGATAATGGAACCAGAAATTCGGAAGGGTGCGCGACCAGTTGGCATAGATGTCAGGCATATTCATCCAGGGAGTGAAAGGCTTGGCAAAGGTGTTCAGGAGGCCCAAGGATGGTTCGTAGATCTGGGTAACGCGTAGGATGTCGTCAATGTCGGAAATGATCCCCAGACCTGTTGGAGGAACAAGGTAGGCAGTTGCATTTCCATTCACATCTCCCTCCGTGTAGACATTCAGGCGCTGGATCTCGCTTGTAGAGTTGCCAGCATCGAGCCCAGCGTCATTGATTTGGACGAAGCCGTCAAAGTCTCCCTCCGCATCTGTTGGAATTGGATACTTAATCTGTTGACTTCCGCCTTGTGGAGTCACGGCTCCGCCTCCGCCTTGTTCTCCAGAGGCCCCTGCAGTAGGTGCGGGCTGGAGATTGAAGGTCACATTCTGGTTGCTCTGCTGGATTATGAATATTTCAGCAGTCAGGTTTCGAGCCTGCGAAGCCTGGGATGGTGGAAGATCTTCAACGGAAGTGCCGACCAAGAATACGTTCGCAAGATCATCTAGTCTCTGTTCGGTGATATTAGGTTGCTTGAAGACGTTGCCGTGGAAGCGGAGATTCCAGCCTTGATCTGTCCAATTGGCATAGCCACTGGCCTTATCAGTACCTGACATGTGAGGGAGATATGCAGCATGGCTCACGGTATGTTCAGCACCTGTGTCGGCAGCGCTTTGACTTGAGTATCGTTGAGCCCCAAGCTACTCTGCACATCGGCCCCAGTAGGAAAACCCTGGAAGAAATTGGGCACGCCTGACGCGACGTATGAGGGTATGTCTGAACCCAAGCCGCTGAGTATGGAATTGACATCCCCGGCAAGATCACTGACCACGCCTCTCTTTTTGTATGTCTTGGTTGGATCCCAGCTGGCCGGCGATGGGGTGATCAACGGCCGCTCTTGGCCTACTTGGCCGGGCCGTGGGATGCTTCGACGGACCGCTGTTGCGGTAATGAGGGGGAGGAGGACGAGGAGTACGGTTGGAAAGGAAGTAATGATCATGGTCGCGGATCCTAGGTCCAGGTCTTAGGTATAGGGAAGTCCTTCTCCAGAGTAAACAACCCGCGTCTGTGGCTTCTCCTCAAGACAGAAAGGAAGGTGAGGAGGATAAAAGCTATGCTATGAATAATGCCTCATGCCCTGTACTCTATGGTCGCGAGATGGGAGAACTCTCCTCCAAACTAGACTTGGACGAGTCCTCCCTGTTCGCGCAAACAAAATGAAGCAATCGAAAACAAGGAATCCGTGCTTGGCAGCTTGGCTTGGCAGATTTCAGACCCTAAAGTCGGCGTTTATACGCATCAGCATATCCTATGGACTCGACTCCCTCAGAGCCCAGGAAAACCCCTTGCTGTGTATCCCGCCTGTTCTACCGAGACCAGTATGGAACGTCTAACCGATCGATTCAACCTGAGGCTGACCCACTATGGGTCCAACTGACAGGTTGATTGGAAAGCTCGCTTTCTCTTACTCTACTCAAGATTGGAATCACAAAATGTTCGACAACCATAAAATTACGGTTGACCAATTAGATCCTCAGGTTACGCTAAAACTCATCTTATCTCTTCAATCTCGATCTAAACGCGGGTATATCTTCAAGAGAAAACATTATAAGACTGAACCTCCATTATCAAAATATTATCTACCGTTTCCTTTAATTCCTAATCGCTATATACTGTATGATTAAATTGGAATTATAGCCGTAGTTATACGCTTTTAAATAACGCTTTGAGAACGATATTTGATAGAGCAATACTGAAGATATATTAAGAATAAGAAATTCACTTCTAGTCTTCGTAGATTATCGAGCTTGCGAGAAGAGCTCCTTCGGTAGAAGCCCCGAAGAGCCCTCGAAGAGCCCCCGAAGGGTCAGAGGGATTTTAGAGAATCCCCCCCTGAGAATCAGTAAGAATCATTCTAATTATTCGAGGATTCTCAGAGAGCTCTCCGAAGGATCAGATTGATTTAGTGGTGAATTGTTGTGAGTACCTTAGTCTTCCCACGGTATCGACAAGCTTTCCACTATTGGGTAGCCCGTGCCCCAGCACATATTTGAGCTGCTAGGAAGATGAATCTAAGGAGTGGCAGTGACAGGTCTTCGAAGACTTCGCTCTTCTCGAAAAGAGTTCTAGGACATGATCCCCTTCGTATAGCTTTCTGACGGGCGCGCCGCTGCCTCCCGCTCATTGACTTGCCCATCCATCTAACTGTCTTCTTTATCTAGCTCCAGTCGTCTGCCACTAAGGATCAAAGCCAGAGGAAAACCTGGAGGATTTCTTGGTATGCTGCATGATCGTTTTCAATTGACAAGAAAATAACAGTTATGTTCTAGCCACGAGCTGTTTTCCGAAGAGACGGTATTCTCGGAACCATGATGTGAAGCGATGATCTTGATATGGCCTTTGGCCACAGATATCTGATACACGGACAATTCGAACGAAGTTTACACATTCGCCTTCCCTTTGCCACGATCTCAATGCATCCTCGACTCTCTACACTGCAAGTTTAGCAACACATTCAAGGCCTAGGATATGTCAATCATCTTTAGAATTTGCGTTGCACGGTGGCGTTGCCATCGTGGGGAGTGGTGAAATTGTTCATCCTTGGGGCACAAGTCCACAGCCCAACGGACGGCCCATTGTCGCAACACTCAATATAGACTGCTCTTGCGTTAGGATAGTACGGAGCAAGCACGGCGGGAACTTCTGTCGACGGAGCAAGCCCCTATACCGCAAGCGCTCGGTAAATTGCAGGAGCCTTCAATTTCCGAGGCTTCAATTTTTCGTGGTCTTGTTCCTCAAGCGTTGAGTATCAGCACTAGAGCAGCTCAACCCCAGCGTCAGAACTGTAGACAGATACCAACACGACTGCTACGTTGCCTCAAGCTCGACCATGAAACCCCCGACGCTTTCCGAGCTTGGGATCGCGATCTACGACTCTAAATCCTTCGGCGGGCTTCTCCCTAGAGGCCGACGGTTTAAGCGAGGACCGTCGGCACGCGAACTTAATATAGTTAGCGTAATTAGCGTATAACTCTAAATAAAAACTTACTCATATCGCTTATTTCTTCGTTCTTACCGCAATA